AGGGGTCCAAGATTATCTTCTGTGTCTGTGTTAATTGGTTTCCCTTTTCTTTGTTGAAGAGGGTCTGTGCAATCCTCTGCCTAGTCCGCCATCTTGCCCCGCCTCCTCAGCGCCTTTTCTTATTAATGTCTAGGGCCAGCTGTATCTCCCACTGTTTAAAATAATCCTTAATTAGATATCCTACTGTCTTGAACATGCTTAATTCATCATAACGATGATAATAATGATGATAAAAATATTTATTAATCATTCATTTGATTGTAAGTGCATGTTTTCTTGTGCTTAGTCTTATCGCTAAAGCAGGATACGAGAAAGGTTACATTAATGGTTGACAGTATGATATCTAAAGCCTAGTTGCTTGACTCTGACATCTAATTAATGTGTGACTTTGGACACAGTAAGGAGCCCTGGTGGTGCAGTGGTTAAAGTGCCGGGCTGCTAACCAAAAAGTTGATGGTTCAAACCCACCAGCTACTACACAGGAGAAAGATATGGCAGTCTGCTTCAGTAAAGATTTATATCCTTGGAAACCCTATAGGGTAATTCTGCTGTCCTACAAGGTCACTATGAATCAGAATCAACTGGCAGCTGTGGGTGTGGGTTAGACACAATATTTAAGTTCTTTGAATGTTAGTTTCCTTATCCATAAAATTGATATAATAAAGTAGTCACATCATAAAGTTTGAGAATTAAATGATACAAGATACTAAATCACTTAGAAAATCCTGGCAAATAGTAAGAACTAAATACATGTTTATTATTTGTTGTAGCAGGTTTCAATGAATATTGACTATACACTGGGAGGTCTATTCTGTGCCAAGCACTTTGCTATGTTCTTTATATCCATACCATTTAATCCTTCATATTAGACTGTGAGACTATTATTATCCACATTTTGTAGGAGAAAAAAATTGAAATTCAAGAGGTTAAATTATTTACTGTAGATTATATAATCTCATTAGTGGTATGGATTCAGGGTTAGAATATGGTCTGTTTGACTTCAAAACCAATGCTGCATCTCCCCTACCACTCAACTTGCACAGTGAGATGCTTTCCACTCTTTTCTGCCTAAGCAAATCATAAAGTATTCCTTGCACTTATTGGACACACTTACCTCTTAGAAGTCATACATCACATCACACTGTTATTCAGTGCATTTTCCTGTTTCTTGTATTGGGAACACATTCTCCAACAGCAAGGACATTAAGACCCAGTAGTGCTGTGCACATAGTTAATGACCACTGATTGCACAACTGGATGAATGCTATCATTGTTCCTTACAAGGTCCTTGTGAAGGTACTATTAGTGGCATCTTTGTCCAAAAAAGAAATTATTACTAGATAATGATTCTATTTCCTTGTTTATGATTTATTAATTGTGTACAGTGTGAAGGTCATGCACTGCATATAAAAATTGAAGACATGTTTTCTTAGGGATTAAAAAGAAAACCGTGGCAAATGTATTCTTATGAATTTGAGGGCTTTTCTTTATCCTTTCAGCCAGAGAGTTAAGAATATTGACAGTTGTAGGAGGTTGAAGTAGTCTATATACCTTTGCTTCCCCCCTCCTGTCACACATACTGTAGCATTTATTAATTCACTCAATTTTGGGATATAGCAGTGAAGAAGATACATAAGATCCTTGTTCTCATGGAGTTTATATTTTAGTGAGAGGGGAAAGGCATAAGCAAGTAAACAAATCAAATAAAGATACTAATAGCATCTGGCATTCAGTAGTTTCCCATGATGAGGTAGTGATTGGGAAACAAGCATCTGTGCAAGGTGTTTGGGGAGAGCCACAGAGGGGAGTGCTTTGCAAAGGCATGCACACATCTTTCACAAAGGACACACATACACATTTCTTCTGTTTAGTTACTCCCTGGTTTAACCATCTCATGCTTGGATGCAACATATGGCTTTTACTTTGTTGTTTAACCACTAGGTTCAAAGAGACTGTCAACAATAATGTTCTTCCTGTGGCAAAAATAATGTAGCACCAAGCCATTTTCACAGGTGCTATGTTTCTTTTTTCCTCCTTTCCACTTTCCGGGATGAAACAGGGCCTAGAATCAAAGCAGGTTTTCTCTATACCTGTAAAAGATTAGCTTTTAGTTATCGAGGATGACGCAAGCAGGAAAACCAAAATGCAAGAAAACAGAGATGAAGCCAAATAGGATAATTTCTGATTGTAATAGCTGGTTTCTGTTTCATGTCATTGTGCGAGATGAGAAAGTTTTGCAGAGGTTTATAGGAACACCTTCCACAGAACTAAAGGATGACCTCACCCTCAGTGTCCTTGCCAGGTGCTTAGCCCCACTGTGAACACACAAGGTTGATTTTCAACATGAAACAAGCCAGAAGTAGGGAATGACATTTCAGGTAACAGCTGTGGCTCTACAGCCTGTAATTAGCACCTCTTAACCTCAAACTTGCCTGTGCCTCTTTCAGGCTGTTGAAGCTCAAATCCGAAGTTTTGGACAGACACCTTCTCAACTCCTTATAGAGCCCCATCCTCCCCGAGGTTCGGCCATGCAAGTGGTAAGTGCTGCTTTCACTCTCCTCATTTCTTGCCTTTCTCTCAGACCGTACTTGACATTCATAACAGTCTTTCTTTGTGCTTGAGATTCTCTACCACATCTGGGCTATTCTCCTGCTCCTTTGCTTATGCAATGTTTGTTCATCTGCCAACAACCAGCAAACATTATTGCATGCTACCCTGCAATCTTTGAAAAGGTGAACGTGGCTTCAGTGCTGCTCTAGTATTTTTATCAGCTCATATTTTGTGTTTCAGAAAGAGAAGATCCATAACTGTCACAGATCCTCATTGTAGGATAAAGAACTCCAGACATAGGGTTGATGTGTTTTCTAGTTTGATCTATGACTTTCTGGATTCATTTTGTTATCGTGTTCTTTTTATTTGTTTGTTCATTCTAGTACATCTTTCTGTTTGGGAATTTTAAGACTAATTCTAATTAATAGGATAATGTTGAGAGTCAGTGACCACAGGGGGGAAAAAAAAAGATGGCCACTGGATACCAGGCCACCCAAAACTTTAAACTCAAAAACTCACTGCTGTTGAGTCAGATCCAACTCATAGCGACCCCGCCCCCCCTCGAGTTTCTGAGGCGGTATCACTATGGAAGTAGATTGCACAACCTTCCTTCCGAGGAGTGACTGGTGGGTTTGAACCTCCAGCCTTCTGGTTAGCAGTCTTAGGCACTAAGATGCTTAGGCACTAAACCACCCCAAAAGTTAGTGGCTTAAAACTGATTTATTATTTTCTTGATTCAGAGGGTTAGATGGGTATTTCTTCTGCCCTTTTCACCTTGGCTCACTCATGCCTGGTTGGGGGGTGAGGGGTAGGGATAGCTGGAATCTCCTTTCATGTGTTCTTTCATTCTCAGGGAGGTTAGACCAGGCCACCCCAATGGGAGGAGTAGTTGGAAAAGAACGAAAACAGAAATGACGGTTTCTTGAGGCATAGCTTTTCAATGGACACACCATCATTTCTGCCACATTCTGTTGGTCACGAAGCCAACCGGAATCAAAGAGTAGGGAAATATACTTGAGCTGTAAAATGTTATGGCCATTCTACATTCATAGTTCCTTAAGTTTCAGAGGGGAAATTTTTCAATGAGATTTAAAAAAACAAAAACAAACAAACAAACAAAAAAAAACCCAGCATCCTAAGAAATACTGAATTGCATGGTAAAAATAAATGACTTTAAAACAGGCTATAGATGTTTTTTCTTGAGTTGCTCCCCCATAAAAACAGACAGCTTAGTTCTGTTTTAAATTAAGAATAGAAAATATAAAATCTATTTCTATAAATATAATGAATATTTTAAGATAGATTCTAGTTTTTTGTTGTGGCTTAGAGACATTCAATTTCTGACAGATACTAGGAAAGAAAGAGTAGCAGCCAAGAGGACAAGAAATAAGATGTGAGCCTTTCTTTCTCTTTCTTTCTCTTCCCATCTCATTTCTTCCTCTGTGTTTTTTCCCTTTTGCCCTTTGTGTCATCTTTTTTCTTCTTTCAAGGCTTTTTTTTCCATCTTTCCCTAGTTATAGAGTTGGATATAATAATAAACTGAAACCATTTTTAAGTGATTTGCATCACCTTTTTCCCCAAATGTTTTTAAACAGGTGAAATCAGATTTAGATGAACATGAAGTGTAAGTTTAGTGTGCAGAAGACTACACAGAAAGCCAACATTTAGCAAGTTTAGTGGAAGATAAATGCCAAAAAAATACTGATTTATGTTTGGACTTTGGAATTAGTTTCAGTAATAGCTTGTCAATGATACTCAGGCTGCTTTCGGTGCTGGCTAATGGAAGGAAGCCCCTCCACTGCTTCATTGACTTTCTACTTGGGTCACTGCACAGCCTTGGTCAGTGGGGCAATGAGGGAATTTCCACTGCCAAACCTTCCTGCACAGCAAAAAGATTATTGGTTAATTGAGGCGGATCAGTTTTACCGTCCCTCAGGTGGTAAGGTTAGAAGGCACTAACTCATATGAAGACTGGAAACCATCTTTCTCTCTATCCTCTGAACTGAGCACCTGAACTCATTTTCAGACTTGCACAAATTGTGTTTTTCATGATAAATATATGTGGGTAGGAAAGAAAGGCATGTTAGAAAGAAATCAGAATTGTCTGGGGAAATGGGATGAAACTGGTCTAGCAGTTTCCTACTTCTACCTTGTATTTCAGAGGCACCCGGAAGTAGATGAAGGTTTATTTCTTCTTTCTCTTAGCGGTGTTTTGCCAGTTGTTTCACTTCTTCATATCTATGGCCATCACTGAAGCCTACGGCAATAGACTAGAGTAACCTTTTTCTCATTTCTAGTGTTCTTGATCCTGTGTTTATTGGCCAAGGATATGATGGTGCTCCCTAGACAGTTTCCTGCTCTTTGCCTACATAGGGAATTCTAGTTAGGATAGATATGTAAGAACCGACTGGAGGTACACCTTGGTGTTGGAATGCAGTGAAGAGTTCTAGATACGGAGTCTGCAGCCTGCGGTGTAAAGTGGCTTGGCCCACCACAGTCACAAGATAGTCAACAAGATAGTCTTCCTACACATTAGAGATATTTTCTAATTGCTTTTTTGTTTTTAGAGCATAAAAATTGGCATTATTTAATCAGACCTTAATTGTATTTATAATACAAGCTGTTAAGCTCAAAAATATGTATGATTTTTTTAGTGAGACTACATGTTGTATTCTGATTTTCTCAGAGTTTATAAATTGACTTTAGTAAATATTATAAAATTATGTAATTGAAAAATAAGATTTGTTACCCTGAAATAATGTTCATTTTCTTTTCCCAGGCTTCTTCAAAGCTCGCTTATAGAATATTTCATTTGCTGTTGCTCATTGTTTCTCATTTTCCCCATTTTCATAGAACTCATAAAACTGTGTAAAAGGTTCTTTGTATAATGAAAAGTACAATATTGATATAAGGAGTTTTAAAAATCAAAGGTAGTAGTGTTTATTATTTTTACTAACACTCGGATGAGCTACTCCATCAAACATCAATGTACCCCACAACACACACACACACACACACGAATACAGAAGAAATTAAAGCCACCTCGTGCTGCATTAAGTGCATGAGCCATAATATACACCAGGTGTAGTAATTAGCAGGCACACGAAGGCTGCCTATTTGTCTGGTTTTGCTGCTGTTACTGTATCCCCCTGTGTTTTCACACCATCAGATAGTTGGATTTAATTGAGGCCACATCAGATGAGGCATTACTGACACCTTTAATTGAATGAGCATCCAGGGAGGATTAACTCATAATATTGATTGGCTTTTAGCCACTTGCTCAGAAGGGTGTCTGGGTAGCTTATTAGTTGCCTTTATTTACACCTTTATGCAAAGAGTGCAAATAGGAATTCTTAGTGCAATATGTTTTTCTAAGTACTCTTAATAACTTTTTTAAAAGGACTGCTAATAAAAATGCAAATTTATTTAATTTTTTATTAGCAGTTCTGAATAAATATGTGCTCAATATATGTGCCTACACATTTATATATACCTGGTGTTTTGAAATATGGCACTAGGAAAGCAGCCAGAAGCACTTCATCAAAGTGTTTCATTTCTGAATGATACTAATCAGCTATTAGAAAATAGACAAGGTAGAAGAGAATTGCTGAAAATGTACAGTGCAATTACTGTATGATGGCATACTACCACAAAGTATAAATAAAGCCAATAAATCAGGGTCATGTTATATGTGTCTTGGACCATGACTTATGGGCTGCAGGAATGGTCCAAATCCTTAGCAGTCTTCAAGATTATTTTATTTTTTGCTAACTATTAGAAGAGTCAGTGTTTAGTTTATCAATTTTAATTCCTGCTTTTCAAAGGAGGAATCAAAAAAAGTCTTGAGCTTTAGTTTTTTTTTTACCAACAGAGAGAGAAAGGGGTATCTAGATATTCTTCTTTATTCCTACCTACAGCAGGAAGCATTGGCATTTGCATTATAATAAGATAGTGTTTATGATTTGGTACACTATATAATTATATTGTTTTTACAAACTACATTTAATTATACATTGCTTTGAAACACCTTATAATTAAGTTTGTATATTACTTCCATAAGTTATTTCTCTGCTATAATACATGCATGCTAACAATTATTTATAAATATATTTGTTATCTATTTAGTTGTCAAAATCTTCATGCTAATTCAACACAACTTTTGATGATCTTTGGAAATTACCTTGGCTTGCTTTTATAACTATTGCATGTTCTTATTCTATGGATTTTTAAAGTGTCTGTTAATGTATTATATTTCAATCACCAAAAATTATAACCGATGACATACATGAAAAACAAGTAAATCATAATTGCTGTTTCTACAAACCTTTCTGCTCACTATTATGCTTTCACTCACAGCTATGTTAACATGATCTTCCTCTTCTTTTCCTGAACCCTCTCTCCTTGTCTTTGTCTTTCCTTTCTTGTATATTTGGGTTCTTGTCATGCCCACTCAATAGTATCTCCTCCTGCAGAGTCCATTGATGTTCACAGACCAAGCTCAGCAGGACGTTATCATGGTCCTAAAGTTCCCCTCCAACTCCCCTGTCACTCACGTGGCAGCCAACACCCAGCCTGGTTTGGCAACTCCAGCTGTGATCACAGTCACTGCTAATAGGCTATTTGCTGTGAACAAATGGCACAACCTACCTGGTAAGTAAAGAAATATCATTTTAAGATATAACTGCTGATGAACAGTGTGTAAATAAATTGTAATATCTTCTTAAATGTGTTAGGAGCTCTGGTGGTATAGTCCTAAGGCATTTGACTGCTAACCAGAAGGCTGGTGGTTCAAATTCACCAGCCACTTCTCGGAAGGAAGATTGGGCAATCTACTTCCGTAGTGATACTGCCTCAGAAACTCAAGGAGGGGTCGCTGTGAGTTGGATCTGACTCCATGGCAGTGAGTTTTTTGAGTTTTTCTTAAATGTGTTATATCTCAAGATTTAAGGTTGTAATTTTCATGCATTAGTATGAATCAAAATGATTAATACTTTGAAAGGCTTAAAGAAGTCCCATCTGAGCGATAGAGAACAAATGTTGAAACATAAACTATTCTTTGGCATCTGGTGGTTTGTCTTTATTCCTCAGAGATAAATATTGTTTCTAATATAATATTTTAATATAATAATGTTCTATATTGTGTCTATAAACAGTATAAATATTTTGTCAGATGTTCCTCTTTTTTTATTCATTTACTCATTAAACACTTCTGATTGTCTACAATGTGTCAGAAACTCTAATTTTTTATACATGGCATTGTCCTATTTGGTATAGATGGTAGAAGAAAAGAACATTGAAATTACACAGGCAAAATACTGCATACTCATTAAGTACATTCTGTTCTTCCATTAAGTGCTAAAAGACCCATTGCCACTGAGTCAATTCCAACTCATAGCACCCTATGAGACAGAATAGAACTGCCCCATCAGGTTTCTATAGCTGTAATCTTTACAGAAGCAGACTACCACATCTTTCTCCCTCATAGACAGTAGTGGGTTCAAACCCTTAGCCTTTTGGCTAGCAGCTGAGTGCTTAACCACTGTACCATCAGGGCTCCTTAAATGCTGGATGGTTATGGTAACTAAAGGCAAGATACTGAAGGTAACCATTAGAATCACAAACTGCACAAGTCTGAAGAGATAGTAAAGTTCATGTAGTCCAGCCCCATATTTTGCCAATGAAGATACTGAACCCTGGGGACCCTACCTAATTCAGAGCCAGGTTGGAACTCAAGTTTTCTGGCTTAAATTTTATGATTATCCCCTATGATTTATTACCTTTCATTAGAGTACAAATGTTGGGACCTGGATTTAGCATTGTTCTTTTTTGGCCACTGGTTAGAATTTTTTTTATTTCTTTTAAAGAAGAAATATGGAAAATCTTCTTTTAAAGTGTTAGAGACGATAGGCCTCCCTCCTCAAACAATTGTTTTAGGGAAGACACTAAACATTTGATTTTTAATAGCCTAAGTTGTCATTAAATCTGTAAACTGTAGATGAAACTGCTCATTAGAATACATTAAATGGTTGCAAAAATACACATTCTTGAAAAAGGACCCCATGCCAAATTCAATGCAAGAGTTTTAAAATCAAGCAAAATTGAATCACCATTCAAACAAAAACTTAATGCACTGACTGCACTCAATAAGGTCCCATTAGGAAGAATCTGTGGTTGATATCAGAATTTATTAAATATAGCCATGTTCCTGGCCATTGGAAAATGAAACAATTAGAAGAACGCCAATATTTGACTAGAGGATAGATTTGGGGAAAATTGGAGACAAGTAAAAATTGAGGCAGGTATATAATTTCTCTAGATTATAAATCCTCTTATTCCTTTTCCTTCAGATGAAAATGTTTTCTTACAGAGGAAAATGTTTATGCAAATGACATACTTATATTTTGAGACTAAAGACTCAGAAGTGTGATTTTTGGAGGGAATTCTCTACCATTTGTTAAAAGAGAAGCATTCTGGTTGTGTGTTCTATCAGATGCATTAGAGGATTTGCCTGTTCTGTGTGCAGTGAGAGCCTGGCAAAGGTACCAGTGATCGTGATATTGAGACCACAATGAATCCTGGGTGGCTTTGTGGCAGCCCTGAAAAATTCTTCACCCTAAACAGTGACAACATATGGGAGGAGAGACAAACCTGTTTAACTGCTAGAAAGCCCTGGCCCCATCCCCATCATTAGCTTAGCCTAGCAAAGAGCTAGCTCAGCAGGCACTGAGCTGATTCTACCAAAGGGCTACTAGTCTCCAACTGATATTCCCATTGTAAAGTGCCTTCCATAAGCATCTATGACTGAACTCTTGACACTCCCCTTTTGAGCAAGTCCAGTACATTGAGTAGAAAGTTTCCCTTAGTATCTGGTGTCAGATTTTTTCTACCCTACTCCCACTTTTCCTATGAGTATGTAAAGTGATTTTGAGTAGAATGCCTCTGCTAGAGTACCATGTATGGTGCATCCAGCTGTTCCCAGCTTCACCTCACCTTTCCATAAGATAAGAGCTTGAGTGACTGCATGTATTCTGCCAGTTCTTTGCTAATAAGTCTCAATGAGCCTTGCTCTATGCCTGAACTTTGTGTCACTAGTATCTTCTGCCTCCACCCCCTGGTTTTACAGTATGACACAGCCACTATTCATCAGATAAATATAAAGAATGATGACATGTATAGGAGACTATAGGTGGCTATATTTCTAGAAAGTGATTTCCAGCTTTGAGCTATCCCTAAAAATATTAGCATCCATTTCAGCAAATCCATGCCTCATGTCAGGGGTATTTAATAAAAAATAAATCTGATTGCTCATTCCTTTTCTAACTTTACCTATCGATATGCCTTGATTTAAAATGAACATCAAAAATCCCTAACAGTTACTCTTTAGTAAATAGCAAATTCATATAACTTTTCTTTTTTTAAGTTTAGATTCTTATTCTTTTCTAAAGTATCTGTGTTATCCATAGACAGCTAACTCCTGTCACTTCTTTGAGTAGTGTCTGGGTTCTGGTTTAGGAAAAATAAATAAATCTATCTCTTTCCCTCTCATTCACAGGACCTTGCAAAATCTCTAAAACAACACATAATAACACCAACAACAACATTTATTTTAACACCAGCCAGCACTGACTAGTCTATCAGGGCTCTTCTTGTTACTGTACATGTATTAACTCACTTAATCCCCTCAACAACCCTTAGATGTTCTACATTTATATTAAAACATATGAAATTGCTGTTTCTACAGGTCAAAATGGCCAGGTATGGGCAATTTCATATGGTTCTGTCTAACCCATTTTACAGATCAGGAAACTGAAACACAGAGGTTGCATAACCTGCTCAGAATCACACAGGCAGGCAGTGGCAGAACTGGGATTTGAGATATAACCAAAGATTGTTAACCTCATATACCTCTTTTATTGACTGTTTAGTTCTAATGTTTCTATAATCCCAGATTCTCAGAGAAGCAGAGAAAAACTCTGAAGGTATTAGTTGTAATGGATACAGTTATTACTAGATAGAGCTCTAGTGGTACAGTGGTTAAGGCATTCGGCTTCTAACCAAAAGGTTGGCAGTTCAAATCCGCCAGCTGCTCCATGGGAAAAAGATGAGGGCAGTCTGCTTCTGTAAAGATTTACTGCCCTGGAAACCCTATGGAGCACTTCTGTCTACTCTGTCCTATAGAGTTGCTATGAGTCAGAATCGACTTGATGGCAATAAGTGTGGGTTTTTCTGTTTATTACTGGAAGTAAATGGAACTGTTGGGCAAACCAAGGGCCACAGTGCATTTCCCCTAATCATTCCCTGTACATGTTCTGTGATTTCTTCACTGGCAGAGCCAGAAATCAGCAAAGACAAATCCTTCAGGCCAAAAAGAGTGAGTCATTGCAGCTCCTTTTTTTCCCAGCAACTTTAATCCCTTATACATATTTGTCTGAGTTCCCTACGGCACCCCTACCATAAAATGGATGACTCTAAAGAACAGATTTTTATTATCCTATAGTTCTGGAGGCTAGAAGTCCAAATCAAGGCATTAGCTTTAATTCTCTCGGAAGAGGGCTCATGCCTCTCTCCTAGCTTCTAATGGTGCCAGCAGTCCTTGGTGTTCCTTGCTGCTTGTAGGTGTATCTTCGTATGGTACCATCCCTTTGTGTGTGACTCTCTCTCTCCCTGTCTGTCCTCCCTTTTATAAGACACCACTAAGAATGGATTAGGACATAACATAGTCCAGTATAACTTCCTAAATTTAGCTGATAATATCTTTAAAGAAAAGCCCTATTTCCTAACAAGGTCACATTCACAGGTACAGAGATTAGGGGTTCAGTGTATCTTTTTGGAGTATACCGTTCAATCTGTAGCAATACAGAGTTACAATTTGTAGTGACAATATTGCATTTATTCAGGTGTTATGTATCAGTATTAATGATCCTTGAGGAGTTATTTGCTAGTTGGGGAACTGGTGATGTATATTTTAAAATAATCTATGAACTCACTGAAATGCACCCCTTTTTATTTTCAGCATCTCAAAAACAGAAAGATTTCCTAAACTCTTAGGTTATTTCTTAAGCATATTTCTAATACTGACCAAGCACTAACTTAAGTGCTTGTGAGTCTGTAACAGGCAGATAGTGACCAGGGACAATGACTGAGTCATTTGGGGAAAATAGTTTGGATATGGCCCAGAATTTAACTATCAGAACTCTAATGCTGAAAAGATCATTTGCTCTAAACCCCTCATTTTACTAAGGCTTCAGAGTTTGCCTAAGGTTGCACAACTAGTCAGTGGCAGCTTCTCATTCTTAGTACATTTTCCACTCTACAGCCTATAAAGCCTCTTTTCAGTTACAAAGTAAGTATGCCTGAATTTTTAGAACCATTTTCAGAATTGAACAAACTATTCTTAGTATAAATTGATTCTTGTTACTCATTTGCCTCCCAGATTATTTTTAAATCAAAACCATGGCACTATTAAATATTAATAGTGCTTTTTTTAAAAAACCTCAATCCAGTCTTTAAGAAAATATTTCAGCCAAATGCATTTAACTAAAACATTTATCTGTGGATAGCTTCTTTATTTTTATTCAAACTTTCAGTTGATTGATTTTAAGTGATGGATGAAGCATTAAATGTTCCCTGACTTAGAGCTCTCCCTTTCTCCATCATAAATTGACGTTTTGGTGGATCCTTTGTGCTGCAGCATTCAAAACTGCCTTTTTAAGAAGTAACGAAAAAATAGTATTTGCTACAGTCAGCAGATGGTTGTCACATTTTGTTTTCAACACGCTTTACCACTTAATTTTGTTTTGTTGCAGCATCAGAGGTTGCCAGTCAAGCATCTGCTATAGCTTATGGCCTAGGACTGGAGCCACTGCTGATGGCACATGTTCAGAACAGCACTAATCTAAAATAAATGTTTAATAAGCTAGCCATAAAAGCACCTGGATTTTTTTTTTTTTCTTTAAATTTCATGAAACTGCATGAGAGATTTGGAGGTTGGAAACAATTCTACATAAGGTTTGACTTACACATTTTTATGTAGTTTGGTATATGAAAAATAATGCTCTTTTTTTTTTTTAATCTTTTGTGAATTCCAGCTCATCAAGGTGCTGTACAAGACCAGCCATACCAGCTGCCAGTGGAAATCGATCCTCTCATAGGTCTGTCACTTCCTTCTCTCTTTGCGATTCATTAAGCTCTGTATGGTGGCCCTGAAGTGTAGATTACAGTTGTTTTTCACTTGCTGGTTGCTGGGAATGGAATTTTCCTGATAAACCATTTGCATGCAAATTGGAATGCAATGAGCTGTGGCTATGCTGGTATTTCATCAACTCCCCCTCGTTGGTTTGCCTAATTTGAACAGGCCTAGGACGCGTGTCACTGAAAATTAATATGGATGCTGTAATAATGTGTGATTGAGAATGCGCATGAAGTACTGTCAGGATAATATTGGATCTTTTCATCACTCAGACTTGTTGATGAGCAGGAACGAGGCACGTTATGATGAATTGGTGCAACGGTAATGTGATGGAGCTTCTTTGCTAGGGAAATTTTCATAATAACAGTAGAGTTCTTAGCAGCACTGTGTTGTGAAAAATAAAACTGTAGTGCCAGGGTTTCATCATTAAAGGAGATCAATCCTTTCTTTCTGGACCCTCTGTTCACTCTGAGGGGATTAATGTGCAATTGCAAAGCACTTTCCAAGTTGAAATATATTGCCCAGCCAATGGCAGTGTTAAGATATTTGTATTCATTTTCCTAGGATCTTACAGCCTAGTAAATTGCCACTGGAGGTTAAATTTGTTCTGGGGGGAGAAAAAAAGAATAGGGAGGAGACCAGAAAAAGCCACTGGGATGAAATGAGCATCTGCAGCAGATGACTGAGGGTATTTAATTGCTGTTATGCTTTTTGAGTTAGAGTCACTGAAACCTTTAGTTTAGCATTTTTCATCCTTATGTGTGGGGATTTCCAGTGTGGCTTCACTGAGAATGTTAAGCCTTGATAGTAAAGATCCTGTTCAATAACTTTTAGAATAAAAAATCCATAATTGCCTCTTTGTAGGGATATGTGTCTAACATGGATGTTGGGCTTGCAATTTTGCCAGATTTCCCTGGCACAAATAATTTGTTAGAATTTTAAGGTTTTCAAATAAGACATACGAATGAGCTGTTAAAAATCCAGGTTGTTCCCTATGTGTATATAGGCACGCCTTTTTTTCTTTGAAACCATTGTTTCAATAGAGAGCGAAAGAACCACCTTTCACAGATGGACCATTATGGACTCAAGTAACCTTAAGTTCAAAACTAATTAATTCATCATTTCCTCAAATCTGAGCAGAAATCTAAAATATCTTTCTATTTGAAGAATGAATGCAATTCTGGTTCCTCAGTCTTGTTTTGCTTTGAGTAGATATGATTTGCCATATATGTGAAAAATTAAATGCTCACTTGGGTAAAGTTATAAAAATCAGGAATATAATCAAGCCCATTTACTAATCATTTAAAGCATTGTTTCAGAATTATAGACTCATTATTTGCTTTAAAACTTGACAATAAATATCCTATAGTATCAAGTCTCATTAAATGAATTCAGCAGTTGTAATTCTTTAGAGGGCAGTGGTAAACTTTTACTGTTAAAGAGGCATATAGGAAATATTTTAGGCTTTGTGGGCCATATGGTCTCTGTCTCAACTACTCAGCTTTACCATTATATCACAAAAGCGGCCATAAACCAAAAAAAAAAAAAAAAAACTCACTGCCATCGAGTTGATTCCAACTCACAGCAACCCCCCTTGGGTTTCTGGGGTGGTACATCTTTATGGAAGTAGATTGCCCAGCCTTCCTTCTGTGGAGTGGCTGGTGGGTTTGAACCACCAGCCTTCTGGTTAGCACTCAAATGCCTTAAGCACTGAGCTCCTTAAAAACAGCCATAGACAGTATGTAAGCAAATGAGCCTGGCTTTGTTCCAATAAAACTTTATATACAAAATGAGGCAGCAGGCCAGGTTTGACCTGTGGGCGATAATTTGTTGTCTTTGCTCTAAACCACTGATCATTAGACATTTACTGCTATACTTCCTAAAATAATTGTTTAAAACCATGTACCTTCTCACCTAAAATTTTTCATCACAAATTTAAATAGTTGAAAAGTTTATAATATCTGGCATAGTGTAAAAATTGACATGTTAAAGAAAGTGTTATAGCACTTTTTAAAATATATCCAAACTTACATATCAGAGTGAATTGGTTCTCAACATTTTGTTTATTTAAAAATGCATTAAAAAGCCTTTAACAGTTGGAAATATTTCATTATTCCTCTTTCATCTTGAATTCATACTTTCATTGTTCCCCCCACACCATTTTATCTTAATTTTTTTTTACTGATTGCTGTAGTGTAATTTTCTGCAATATAAATATGTATTGAAAATTCAACATATGTATGAATGTATATGTGCCATATATGTAAAAAACTAAATGTATATTAAATTGTAAAATTTGCTACGATCGAAAAATTGAACTTTAGAAAAACTTTCATCTGGACTGTGATCATTACAAATATTACTAATGTACAATTACTCAAAAATTATAATAACTTTTAATAAATATTTACTAGCTCTGGTGGCATAATGCCTAAGGCACTTGACTGCTAACGAGAAGGCTGGCGGTTCAAACCCACCAGCCACTCCTCGGAAGGAAGGTTGGGCCATCTACTTCCGTAGTGATACCACCTCGGAAGCCCAAGGAGGGGTCACTGTGAGTCAGAACCCACTCGATTTTCCTACTATAGGAGAATTATATTTTAACTAGTTCGTTATTTTTAGTTTAAACATCAAAAACAAACAATTATTAGAAGTAACATCATTAATGAAATGAGTGGGTTTTTTCCTTCCAATTAGCTTATGTATTCAGGGATGAGTGAGATTATGTATGAGATTGTGTATTCAGGCTGAGTGAGATAGAGTTGTCTTCAATTCTATCCTACTTCTTTTGCTTTTAATATGGAACCTCTGAGGAACCTTGCTTTCATAAGAAAGTAATTGCAAAGGAAAGAGTTTTGTTTCAACAATGTCAAAAAAATCTTTGATCACTTTCTGAGTTATGTGATAAAATTTACATAGCGATCTGTTACTTAAACTTTTTTATGGTCAATCATTAAAGTAGCCATCATTTTAACAATCTATCATTGGAACTTGTTTTTAATGATCTATCAATTGACAACATGATTAGATCTTTCTTTACTTTTATTGAATGTAATGAATTGAAACCACCTGAGCTGATTTGATACCTGGGCATTCACATCTTCAACATCCCATCAGTATTTTAAATTTATTTGGCTCCCAAGAGGTTTTTTATACCCGAGGCAAAGTACTACAGTAAGATTCTGGGTGGGAGGGAAATGCGCCTTTATTTTATCTAGTGGAAGGAAGGGCACGTGAAAGGGAGAATAGGAAAGGAAAACTCACAGGAGAGTTCTCAGCAAATCAGTTTTAGGCAAGAGAACATATGAAAGTAGAGGGACTAGAAATTGATTCTTTCAAAACCATCTGTGCCTATGTATCCCTTGGGATATCTTGTACCCCCAGGGGTATGCATGCCTAGTTTGGAGACTGCTTATCTAGACAAATATACCTAATTTTCATTGAATAAAAAATACTTTCAGGATTAAATCTCAAGTGGTTTACCAAAGAAAACAGTGAGATAATGGAAAGGTGGTAGGTATTGAGATAGACAGATAGTTTTTTTTTTTTTCTTAAAAAGAGGAGATTGCTATGTTAAATTACAAGTAAGCATTTATTTGGAAAACAGTCATCTGAATGTTTAAGAGGCATTGCCCTTTACCCCTGAGTACTTTGTGGTTTACTCAGTTCAAAATCATACACATGCCCAGATCTGTCTAGGTAGCTCCTCCCAAGAGAATACTCAAAAAAAAAAATTTTTTTTACAGTTCTCACATGCAATGAAGCACTGTACAAAGTGTCACATACCTTGTTCTTAATTGCTAGGTTTCTTGGAAATATATAGCATAGTGCCTAATGCACTTGACTGCTAACCAGAAGGCTGGTGGTTCAAACCCACCAGCCACTCCTCGGAAGGAAGGTTGAGCAATCTACTTCTGTAGTGATACCACCTCAGAAACCCAAGGAAGGGTCACTATGAGTCAGGTCTGACTTGACGGCATATAACAACAGCAATATATTTATAAATATCACAGCTTCAGTGCAATGGGATATTAAGAATCTCTCTCTATGATATGCTGTGATACTCATAGAAGCTTTCCTTAGTTGCCAGCAACTTTCCTTTATGGAGAAAGAGAGGGACAAAATGAGCCTGATCTAGAATTCTGCCCTTTCTACTACTACTATCACTTTCTAGCCCATTAATCCCCCAGAAGCTTAGGAAATGCACGTTATCAAAATTATAGAATAATCTTAAATAGACTAAATGTGTCAGACACTAGCCAAATTGTGCAGATTAGTATTTTACACGTATCTGGGTGGCATGTTGTATATGTCTTGAGGTCAGAGAATCTTACATTCCTCTGTATCACCACTGGTTCCCAGGACAGCACTGGAGAGTATTTTGAGCACTTTTTTTTTCCCCTCTTCTGTATAACTGAGTCTTCCATTAAATTGAGTACATTAGCTTAGTTATTATGTACAGTGTATATCATATGTGGAAGCTCTGGTGGCGTAGTACCTAAGGCATTTGACTGCTAACCAGAAGGCTGGCGGTTCAAACCCACCAGCCACTCCTCGGAAGGAAGATGGGGCAATCTACTCCTGTAGTGATACTGCCTTGGAAACCCAAGGAGGGGTCACTATGAGTCAGGACCATATTGACAGCAATGAGGTTTTCATATATATATATATATTTGTTGTTGTTGTTATGCGCCGTCGAGTCAGCCCTGACTCATAGTGACCCCTCCTTGGGTTTCCGAGGCAGTATCACTACAGGAGTAGATTGCCCCATCTTCCTTCCGAGGAGTGAGTGGTGGGTTTGAACTGCCAGCCTTCTGGTTAGCAGTCAAGTGCCTTAGACAGTATGCTACCAGAGCTCCTATGTGTGTGTGTGTGTATAATATGTAGATCATTAGATAGATATTTGTTTCCATATATTTCATTTTTATTAGTTTTTTGTTAAGGTGGTGGTGGTGGTTTTCTTTGGTGTTCAGAAAACTGAAGACTATAAAGAGCTTGTACAAAGGTACAAAGAGCTTAAATAATCAAATGTAGAAATTTCTTTTGTTTGTTCAGCTTTGTTGTACGTCAGGTTTCTTTAGTAGCAAAAGAACCATTGTTTGTATTAGAAAGTCAGTGGTAAAATAACCCTTAGGTCACCAGAAACAGAGCTTTCTACTTGATTGGCCCCATAATGCCAACACCAGGCATCTGAGCATAAATTCCTCTTCTGATAATGGCACGCTTGCTAGTATATTTCTAAAAGATTATTACTCTTTCCATGTGCCTTGGTGTTGCTTTTGTCTAACCTCATACCTCCTGACAAACCCCATCTTAGGTGCTCTGCAGCATTTCGAAAACACACTGCCAGGCTGTCTTGTTTTGATGCTTAAATGAGGAGTAAGAAAGTGGCAGTATGCTGTGTTTGACTTTTCCAGTTACAAGTATCTTTAATAAATAGTCCTCCTATCCTTTCCTTACATGCAAGTGCAGCTGTAAACAGGGGAAATGGGAGTTCACATGCAGTCAAATTAAAGACCCATTAAAGCCAAAATAGTACAAGATGCTACAGTATTTCATATATATGACATTTAAATTCTAGTGTCTCTTCCTGTGACAAAATGTTAAAGGTAATAGATTGTCACAACATGAATCTATTCTCATGACAATAGATATAATGAGATTGTCAGAAACCAAACCTAACTGTGATGCAATCTAGAGATTATAATCTAGTTTGGTCCTGCACAACAGCTAGCATGCATGTTCTGTGAATTATATACCATTTTTAAATTATAATATGTTATTGTTTCTGTCCTCTAAGCAAACAATTTTTTACTAAAATACTGAATTTAGCCACCCACATTCTCCTAAGAGTTGAAAGTATTTTCTTATTTAGTTTTTCAAATAAGACTGTATTTGAAATAAAAGGTCAAGTATTTACTGGAACATGTCTCCTTTCCATTCCTCCCTCCCTCAAGTATGACAAAATATAGGATATCTTTGCCCATGTTGGTTAGTAGTTTTGTTTTGTTTTTCTTTCTCTCTTCTCACAGCCAGCAATATGGGAATGCACAGGAGGCAAATCACTGACCTTTTGGACCAGAGCATTCAAGTCCATTCCCAGTGCTTTGTCATCACTTCGGACAATCGCTATATTCTTGTCTGTGGCTTCTGGGATAAGAGTTTCCGCGTCTATTCCACAGATACAGGTAATGATCATTTTCATCAGTGAATTGAAGTCTACTACAAGAAGCATTAGGAGTTTTATGATGAATCTGCAAAACACCTTATAACATGGATGAACCTGGAGGACATCATGCTATTATAAATGTTGCCCTATTAGTCACAATAGGGCAAATTTTATGTGAGACCATTACTCTAAAAGGTCAAGAAAAGGTTTATTCACCCGAAGAAACATTCTTTGGAAGAAGGAGGGAAATGGAGGGTAAATCACTAACTAGAGGGTAAACGCATTAACTTGGGTGAAGGGAGCGGCAATATACAGTAAGGGAAGGGGTCAGCACAAAATGATCAAGGCAAAGGAAGACATTGGGAGGAGCATGAGAGGTAAAGGCAACAAAAAACCAAACTCACTGCTGTCAAGTTGACTGCAACTCATAGCAACCCCTTTTGGGTTTCTGAGGCTGTAAATCTTTACAGAAGTAGATTGCCCAGTCTTTCTTCTGCAGAGCAGCTGGTGGGTTTGAACTGCTGACCTTCTGGTTAGCAGCAAAGGTAGATACTATTACATACATAATCAAACAATGACAGTTATAACAATAATCTACAAGTGGATACATAAGATAGACACACAAGCTGAGCAAGGGTGGGAGGCAAATGGGACTACGCCCATGAATACATACAGGTTTGACAGAGGATATTGCTACATGTGTATTTGTATGTCCTGAAATGTATCAATGAACATAGTAGAGCATATAAGAGGCAAAGTTATGAAAACATCTTAACCATAACCAAACATCTTAACAACCAGGCCGTGTTTCGTCCTGTCCTACATAGGGTGGCTATGAGTCAGAGCTGACTGATGGCACCTAACAACAACAACAAACACCTTAAGGGAAGGAGTTGCTGGGCCTGGGGGCTTAGAACCATAGTGTCAGGGGACAGCAAGGTCAGTTGGCATAATATAGTCCACAAAGACAATATTCTACATCCTACTTTGGTGAGTTCAAACCCACCAGCCACTCCTTGGAAAGAAGGTTGGGCAGTCCTACTTCCGTAGTGATACTGCCTCAGAAACCCAAGGAAGGGTCACTATGAGTCGGGGCCGACTCGACGGCAAACAACAACTTTGGTGAGTAGCGACAGCAGTCTTAAAAGCTTGTGGGCAGCCATCTAAGGTGCAACTGTCAGTCTCTCCCTGTCCAGAGAAAATCAAAGATGCATGGAAACAATTAATCCAAGGGACTAATAGACCGTGTGAATCCCAGCCTCCATGACCCTGAGACCAGAACTAGAGGGTGTCTGGCTTCTTCTGCTGAGTGCTTCGAAAGGGATCACAATGGGAGGTCCTGGATAGAGTGGGGAAAAAATGTGGAAAAAAATAATTAAAAAGTCCATGGTCTGATAGAGACTGGTGGAATCCCCAAGACTATGGCCCTTAGACACTCTGCAGTCCTGGAATCAAACTCACCCCTGTGGTTCAACTTTTAACCAAATAATAGACAGGCCTATAAACCCACTGCTATCAAGTTGATTCTGACTCATAGCAACCCCCATCAGGTTTCCAAGACTATAAATCTTTACAGAATCAGACTGCCTCATCTTTCACCCACGGAGTGGCTAGTAGGTTTGAACCGCCAACTTTTTGGTTAACTGCACAATGCCTTAACCATAGCACTCCCATAGCTCCTTCGGACAGGCCTGTAAGGTGAACAGTAACACAAAGGAGTTACACATTCCTTAGGACAACCAACTATATGAGATAAAAAAGTCAGCACTTGGCTCAGGGATACAGCTCAGAAGGCAGGAAGATATTGGAAGAAGGACGAGTAGAAACAGTGAACCCAGGGAAGAAATGGGAAGAAAACTGTTACATTGTGGGAACTGCAAGTAGTGTTAGGAATCAAAATGTGTATGAATTGTTGAATGGAAAACCAATTTGCTTTGTAAACTTTCACCCAAATCACAGTATAAGGAAAAAATAAATAAATAAAGGAAGTATTAGGCATTCTAGAAGGCCTTCTCTCTTCTTCCTTCCAAAAATTGCACAATCTGAAATTTGTAAATTAAGAAAGGAAAAAGGACACTCTTTTCCCCTTTCAAGTACTAATTTACTGTGTAATCCACTAGTAAGCTCAAACATGCTGTCTTCTAGAGGAGAATTTTCTCCCAAGCCTCATGCTTACAGAAAGAGAGATCATTTTGAAGGCATACCCTGTAGGGAAACAACACATGCATGTACATACGCGTAATCCTGTAGCAAGTGCATATGTGTGTGTGTGTGTTGTTTCCATTTTTGTATTATTTAATGGCTTTTCTCCGCCTTACTGGAAAGACTCATTAAGTGTATCTCTTTAGAGTACATCTCTTATCTCCACCCAAGTCTGCATAGAATCTTGACCATAACTAAACATATACCATCATGAAGAGAGTTTGTGTGACAGGAGCTACTTGTTAAGATATAAAAGTTTTTTGTTGTTGTTATGTGCCCTCGAGTCAGACTCAACTCATAGCGACCCCTCCTTGGGTTTCTGAGGCAGTATCACCGTGGAAATAGATTACTCCATCTTTCTTCCAAGGAGTGGCTGGTGGGTTTGAATCTCCAGCCTTCTGGTTAACAGTCAAGTGCCTTAGGCACTATGCTACCAGAGCTCCCTCATTTGCATGTATTTCCCTAAGAGACAAACCAAGCTTAACTCAGTATTATTACAGGAGAACCAATCCAGTACATGTTTGTGAATTTTTGCTTATAGGAAATAGAGAAACATATTAAGAAATTTAATGGATTATTATATATTTATATATAAAAAAAATAGAAACTGTTAGAAGATTAAATAAACTTATATATGTAGTTGAATCTTTTAAAATAATGGAAATTAGATTATTAATGCATTAAAACTAATAGATATATACTGTGGAGCTAGAAACTGAAACAGGTATCTACAGGTAACTTGATGAAATGTTGTGAGAATAGGAAGTTCTCTATGAGATTCCTAATTAAATATTGCACAGTAAATCACCTTACAGTCTGTTAGATATTCTTACAAACTGTTTTCATCCATGCCCTTGCCTTAGTATGTTGTTATTAGGTGCCGTCGAGTCCTTTCCAACTCATAGCGACCTCATGTACAGAAGAATGAAACACTGCCTGGTCCTGTGCCAGCCCCACGATCTGTGCTGTACCCGAGCCTGTCATTGCAGCCACTGTGTCAATCCATCTCATTGAGCCCCTTCCCCTTTTTTGTTGACTCTCAACTTTGTCAAGCATGATATCCTTCCCCAGGGAGTGGTCTCTTCTTACAACATGACCAAAGTAGATGAGACAAAGTCTGACCATTCTTACTTCCAAGGAACATGCTAGCTGCACTTCTTCCAGGACAGATTTGTTAGTTCTTTTAGCAGTCCATGGTATTTTCATCATTCTTTGCCAACACCACAACTCAAAAACATCGACTCTTCTTTGGTCTTCCTTTTCATTGTCCAGCTCTCACATGCATATGAGGCAATTGAAACTACCATGGTTTGTGTCAAGCGCACCTTAGTCTTCAAGAAACATCTTTGCTTCTCAGCACTTAGAGGTCCTTTGCAACAGATTTGCCCAATACAATACAACGTCTGATATCTTGATTGCTGCTTCCATTGGTGTTGATTGTAGAACCAGGTAATATGAAGTCTTTGACGACGTCATTCTTTTCTCCATTTATCATGATGCTGCTTATTGGTCCCGTTGTGAGGATTTTTGTTTTCTTTATATGGATGTGTAATCCAGACCACAGACTATAGTCTTCAGTCTTCATCAATAAGTGTTTTAAGTCATCCTCATTTTCATTGAGCAAAGTTGTGCAATCTGCATAACATAGGTTGTTAATGAGCTTTCCTCCAATCCTGATACCACATTCTTCTTCATATAGTTCAGCTTCTTGGATTATTTGTTCAGCATACAGATTGACTAAGTATGGTGAAAGGATATAACCCTGATGCACTCCCTTCTTGATTTTAAACCATGCAGTTTCCTCTTATTCGAATGACAGCCTCCTGGTCTACATAGTTTCTTATGAGCATGATTAAGTGTTCTGGAATTCCCTTTCTTCTCAATGTTATCCATACTTTATTATGATCCACAAAATCAGATGCCTTTGCATAGTCAATAACACAAGTAAACATCTTTCTGCTACTCTTTACTTTGAGCCAAGATCCATCTGACGTCAGCAATGATATCCCTTGTTCCACATTCTCTTCTGAATCCAGCCTGCATTTCTGGAAGTTCTCTGTTAATATACTGCTGCAAATATTTTTGAATTATCTTCAGTAAGATTTTACTTGCATGCAATATTAATGATATTGTTTGATAATTTCCACATTCTCTGGGACCATCTTTCTTTGGAATGGGCACAAATATGGATCTTTTCAGTCAGTTGGCCAGGTAGTTGTCTTCCAAATATCTTGGCATAGCTGAGTGAGTGCCTCTAGTGTGGCATCCATTTGTTGAAACATTTCAAAGGGTATCCCGTCAATACCTGGAGCCTTGTTTTTCACCTCTTCCCTCAGTGCAGCTTCGACTTCTTCCTACAATCTCATTGGTTCTTGATGAGATGCCACCTCCTGAAATGGATGAACATCAAACAGTTCTTTTTGGTACAGTGACTCTGTGTATTCCTTCCATCTTCTTTTGATGTTTCCTTCATCATTCAATATGTTGCCCATAGAATCTTTCAGTATTGCAACTCGAGGCTCAACCTTCCTCTTCAGTTCTTTCAGCTTGAGAAATGCTAAGCATGTTCTTTCCTTCTGGCTTTCCAACTCCATGTCTTTGAACATTTCATTATATTAATTTACTTTGTCTTCTCGAGCTGCTCTTTGAAATATTGTTTAGCTCTTTTATCTTGTCATTTCTCCCATTTGCTTTAGCTACTCTCAGTCCAAGAATAAGTTTCAGAGTCTCTTCTGACATCCATTTTTGTTTTTTCTTCCTTTCCTGTCTTTTTAATGACCTTTTGCTTTCTTCATGGATGATGTTCTTGATGTCATT